AGGATGAGCAAAGACGAGACCGAGACGAAAGCTTGCCCTCTTTTTTATGTGGTGATGATGAAACCCTAATTCTCTCGGTAACGAAAAGGCCCAGCCTGTGTATTTTGGATTGTTCGATTGGGCTTATGGATAAGCCCTACAGAATTGTGGGCCTAAAAATGGCTCATTTTGAAGGGTAGAAGAAAAGTGTTGTGCCTAATTGTGTCCCATTTTTGGAAGATAAGAAAAGATTAGAAGATAATAAAAAAAATTGTTTTGCAATTGCTCCTCCGTGTGATGGTTGATGTTTTACACCAAAAACATGTTCGTGTGACTGGAAAGAGCTTGATCTCCTTAAGTAAAATCTTGAATTCGAGTCTTGCAAAAAGAAAAATAAGCGTTGTGAGAGCTTTTCCCCATAAGGACCGACATAACTTAATTCTGAATTAATTGAAATCTAATATGGTTATTGAATATCGAAAAGTTAATAAAAAAATGGTTATTGTTTTATAATTGGGTGATACTATTGGAATAACCTTTTTATACCATCTTTTGATACAATTTTCACATGTTATTAAATGAGTAAATGCATTCAATATCACAGATTCCATATGAATAAAAAAAAATTAATCATTTAAATAACACATCAGGTTTAACAAAAGGTAATTAAAAAAGATTGTCTCAAAATCATTTCCCTTTACAATTTCGGGCATACTCTTACATAATTGCAAAATTAATTAATTAAATCAAATGTTTATTTTGGATAGTTCGATTTGGCTAAAACCAATATTTAGCCCCTTACCTTACAAAATTGATAAATTTTAGCCCCTAACTTTATAATATATCACTTTTAGCTTTTTACCTTACAAAATTGATAGGTTTGAACCCCTCACCTTACAAAATTGATAAGTTTTAGCCCCCCACCTTATATTATAACATTTTTAACTCCTTATTTGTACGAATTGAAAAAAATAACTCTTATTTAACATCAGGTTTTAATGTTATGTCAGTTCTATTTAGGGGTGGGCATCGGTTCGGTTCGATTGGAACCGAACCCAAATTGAAGGTTTTAATCGGTTGTTTATTTTGTGAAATAGCAACCAAAAACCGAACCGAATAATATTTCGGTTTTTCAATTCGGTTACTAAATTAATCGGTTCGGTTGACATCGGTTTCAGTTTTGACCGATTCCAGCCTTGAACCCTTAGCAGCTTTTTTTTTTTTTGGATTTGGGCCTTTCGTTTTTTGGCCCAAATATCTACTGAATACTTTGTGATCCATTTCTTTTAATAATTACGTGGAAAACAAACTTGATGAAATTGCATTATTTTTCCACGTGGCTTTTTTTTTATTTAAATAAAAACTCACCTAATTTATTATTATATTGTTCATCTTCTTCTTCCTCCCATCTTCTCTCTCATCCCTCCGCCCCTTCTTTTTTCCCAACCTTTTTCCTCCTCACCTCATCCATGGATTCCCCCAAAAAACAATCTTTGATCTGGGTTTTCTTTCTCCAACTTCATCTTTTTCCTTTCCCTGCTCATCATTCTTTTTTCTTTCTCTCTCTCTTCTCCCTTCTTCTTCCTCTCTCAAAACCCAGATCTGGGTTTTTCTATATCTGAGTTTTTCTCGGATTATGTTCTAGATCTGGGTTTTTCTCGGATTATGTTGGGTTCTAGACTCATAAAGCTTTTCGAGCTCCGTAAACTCCGAATCTTGTACCGGAGCTCATTTGTTTTTCTTCGTCGCAGAAAGCCCTTTCCGATGATGCCCAGACTTGGCTTACAAGTGTCAAGCGTGTTTATTTGAGTTAGATGTTGAATGCGCCTTGCTTCCCACAGCAAATTGTGAAGGTGCCAATGTGTTTTAGAAGGTATATATTTTATATTTTCCTAAACAATAATACGGGTTTTCGGGTGTATTATTCGGTTGTTCGGTTGTTGGGCTTGGAACCAAAGCCCGCACCGATTATAAACGGTTGATGCATAAAACCGTTCTTTGGGCCCGAAACCCGTTTGTAACCGCACCGCAAGCCCAATTTTGCTGCGGTTGTCGGGCAACCGATCGGTTGCCCGCGTGCGTGCCCACCCCTAGTTCTATTAGTTGACTGTCAGTTCTGTTAACTGACTGTCAGTTCTGTTAACTGACTGTTAGTTTTAGGGATGGCAATTTGCCCCGATCCTTGCGGGGACCTATGGGGACTCGTGGGGATCCCCGTCACAGGGACGAGGTGGGGAGGAATATTTTTCCTCACGGGGCGGGGACGGGGACGAGTGACATTTTCCCCTCATGAAATTTCACGGGGAATTTTCCCTTCCCTGCGGGGCTCCGCGGGGATCTCCATCCCCGCAAAAAATTAAAAATAATAAATTAATTTCACTTTAAATTTAATAAAATTTTAGAACTCAACCCAATTCAATAAAATTTAACCCACCCCAAAGCCCAACTCAAAACCCAACCCAATCTTTTTAACCCTAAGCATCCTTTTAACCCTAGGCAACCTTATTTGTTTCTCCATTTCTGCAATGACTGCCCCTACCTCTCACCCTTCGACTCTCACACACACACACTCACTTAAGTCATCTTCCACCTTCCCTTTTGGCCCTCCCTACAAATCTCAAACCCTAAATCCCTCAATCCCTTCATTATCGCCCCTCTATCCTTCTCTATTTCACATCTCACCCTTTTGCCTGGAACTGGAGTCTGGACTGCTGCTGCCGAACCAAATCCGTCTGCGCCACTGCTGCTGTTGCTGCTGCGCCACTGCTGCTGTTGCTGCTGTGCCACTGCTCTGCCACGGCTGCACCACTGCCCCGCCACGGCTGCGCCAAACAAGGACGGGAACGGGGACGGAGACAAGGATGGCCTCCCCGGCCTCACGGGGCCCCGTTGACATCACTAATTAGTTCTGTTAGTTGACTGTTAGCATCTATTAGCATTTCGTTAATTCATCTAACAAATAAAATTGAATTTAAATTTCATATTTTTTATAACAGAATGCTAACAGATGTTAATAGTTAACTAACAAAACTAAAATAATGTTATAACCTAATGTTAGGTAAGGGCTATTTTCCTGAATTTGTATCGATGATGGGCTAAAAATATCATAATATAAGGTAAATGGTTAAAACTTACCAATTTTATAAGGAGAGGGACTAAAACTTACTAATTTTGTAAAATAAAGGGTTAAAACTACCATGTTATAAGGTAATGAGCTAAAACCTACCAATATTATAAGGTGAGGGGCTAAATGTTGGTTTTTGCCGTTCGATTTGGGGTTTATGGATAAGCCCTCCGGATGTTTGGGCCGACAAGAATGACCCATTTTGAAAGAGAGAAGAAATCAAGAAATTAAGAAAATGGATTGGGCCTAATAGTGGCCCATTTTGGAAAATGAGAAAATAGTAGGGGTAGAAATTAACAAAATTACTCACTTTATTAAATTCATCTGTAACCCGCTTTTAATTTTGCTCAAAAAGAAATTATTCTCTAAATTACTATAATTATAATGTTATCTAATATTATAAACTTATAATATAAT